CTTCTACAAACTGTTTAGTATTCTTGTAGACCCTTTGGGACCAACAATACTTAACATGACAAACATGAACAATCAATAAATAAGCTCATGGACAGACAATTACGAATGTAGGCAGTTATCTATTGCAATTGGTATATACACTTACATTTATTTAAACTTTATATACCACCACATTGCACAAAATACACAAGTAATCATTTAAATGCAAAAGTTCGTTTTTTTTTTACTTTTTCTTTTAGGAAAAGTACAAAAAAAACAATGGAATTTAATGTTTGGAATGATTAAGTCTTTGGACAATTTTTTGGAATGAACAAGTCCCTAGACATTTCAAAACATGTTAAATAATTCCTTGAACTTTTTAAAACCTGTTAGATACATCTTTATCACTAAAAAATTAACCTGCAACCTAGACATCAGGTAAATTTACAAATTAAAAAAAAAMCCCCTAAAACTAACATCTTCATCCTCACCAGTACGACGGTCGCTCCTCTCCCCCTCGTCGCTAACTTCTACCCCTCGTCGCTAACTTCTCCCCCTACCGTCGCTGCTACCCTCTCCTACAGCCCAACCCCGTAATTGTGGCTCAGGCCTACGCCTTCGCTACCCTCTCCCACAACCCATCCCCATAACCGTCGTCGTCACTACCCTCTCCCCCAGCCCAGCTCCCATCACCCTCACACCTCCATGCATGCTCTGCCTGTTTCCCATCTTCTACCTGAGTCCCCGTCGTTAGAGCTATCGGCAAACCTTGCTCCTTCGATAACCCCTCCAAGTCAAAACCCTCAAAATCTAGTGAACAAAAATGGGTTGCTAAAGGATTGATTACGTCGTTTCCTAATTTCTTGCTTGTAATTGAGGTTGGTAGCAAAGATGTCTGGTATAAAACATTTTTTCTACTTCATGGTTATGCTTTTTTGTAACCCTTTGGCCATAATTTCTTACTCAGTTATTTTTTTGACTTTACGTTTCATGTGAAATTGAATTACATTCAGACCATCTCATTCTTATATATGTATTGATAAACTGGAACCTAGCAAGAGTGGTAGGTTATAGGGTTGTGATATTGAATCTCAAAGGCAATTCATGGAAAGAAAACTTGGTATGGAGACCGTCATAGTTTATGATTTAAAAGAGAGAAGAAAACTTGCTCATTCATCATCTATCATTCATCATCCATCATCCATTTGTGTTGATATGTATAATTAAGATCTTAAAATTTAATTTTTTTTACTTCAGTATTAATGATCTCTTAACTACAGGTCGTTTTTACAAATCAAATACGTACAAGAGGGGGGTTATGGCTCTGTATCTATAGTGGTTACACAAGGCATAGTTTCTAGTGTCATAATGCTATTAAGAAAGAAAATAACTATGGTTCATTTCGGAATGGACTGAAGCTCAGGCCTCAAGTATTGCTTGTCTGCTGCATCTTGCACCATTACTAGGATGTCCTGTGCTATTATTTGTCTTGATATAAGTTGTTGAAGTTGTGGTTCGTACGATTGGTCAAAAATTGCAATGATAGGCTTTTACAACCAGCATGGCTCGAAGGCATCTTACCGTATTCAATTTCAAGTGAGGTGGTTGTTAATGATGAAGACCGTGATGAAGATGATATTGTTGTTGGTGATGAAGAACATTATGAAAGTGATGATGTTGTTAGACATCAAGAAGGGTTACAAGAAATCAAATGGTTGTATCTCCACCAGAAATTAATGATGCAAATGAAGAATTGTTCATGCCATGACCTTAACATAAATTAGGCATTACTTTGGTATATTTTAGCACAACTTAAGATATTTTTTTGGCGTAATTGTTGGTATTCTTCTGTGCAACTTTTGGTATATCTAGGATAATTGTTGGTATTTTTTGGTGCAACTTTGGTATATATTTTGATTCAACTTTTTGTAAATTATGCTCAAATTTTGTATGCAGATTATTTATGTTCGGGTATAGATTTTGTATCTTTTAGAAAGAGTAATGAGAATGATATATTTGTTTAATTTTATAAATGTAATTATTTTTTGTTTCAAAAAATATTTAGAGACTTAATCGTTCAAAATATGAAAATCAATTGGCTTTTTTCCAGATTTTTTGCATTATTTTACCATATAAAAGTCCAAAAAAGTATTTAATATATTTGGAATATCCAAAAACTAATTTATTTAAAAAAATTGTCCTAAAACTTAATTATTTCAAACCATGTACATTGAATTTTTTTGACTTTTCTATTTTCTTTTTAAACTTTTAGAAATATTGTAAAATTGTTATTCATCAAAACGTGCAAACGGCCGATTAGATCGGTTGTGACTATGAAAAGTAAATGTGACGGCGGTCCTTGGGAGCACAACGGACAGACCACCAAACACAAACTCAAACCTATCGGGATTGAAACAAGAAGAAGATCCGAAAGAGAGTCAATCGTATCAATCAACAATGGCGGAGGATTTGATGTTGGATACAGCGATCAGAGACTGGGTTCTCATACCATTATCTATTGTCATGGTTCTAATCGGTGTCCTCCGTTACTTTGTTTCCAAGCTCATGCGTACTTCTCAATTGCCAGATTCCAAGATCATCAAAGAAGGGTTAGTTTAATTCCTTCTCTTTCTACCTCTGTCCATAGAAGAGAGAGAGGGAGAGAGATAGAGAGAGAGAGAGAGAGAGATTTGATCTTGATTTTGTTTTGTTGGATTTTTAGGCAGCTTATAATTAGGGCTAGAAATCTACGGGCGGCTGCTAATTTCATACCTCCAAAGGCATTTCGTGCTCGGAAAGTTTACTACACTAATGAGGTATGTTTTTTGATTGAATTAGTAGTTGTTTGTTTATTGCTTGTTTGTAGACTTTTTTTTATTTGATTTTTATCTTCTAGATGTCAAGTTCATGGGTAGGGATTTGAATTCTAGCAAAATTAATCAAACCATGAACTAGATGAGCTTCAATGCTAATTCCAGTTCTTCAACTTTCTTTTTTTTATTATTAACTTGTTTATAAAGTGTTGATGAGGGTAATTTAGGTGAAATTTGACTCCGTCACTTTAAATAGCTGATGAAGAAAGGCTGCAGTTTCAAAATGGCATTTGTTTGGTGTGTCTTCATGTTGCGTTATAATAGATGCGTTGTTTATTAACTTGCTAATAACTTTGCACATTTTATGAGATGTAAGAAGGGATTAGAAGGACTTATGCTGCTATGTTTTAACTTGGATTAACCTTTCCAAAATCTAGTAGAGAGACGTAGATGCATGTTTAAGATGGAAAGTCTGGATACTAGTGTTTTTCTTTATCAATGGTGAAAGTGGTATACCATCTACGAAGAATTTGAAGTTTGAATAGACTTTTTGGTTTTTGTAGATTACTACTTAGATTGTTAATTGCCTCTGTCACCACAAAGAAGTCGAATTTTACCATCAATAACATGGTAAATGGTTCAGTTGCTTTACTTATAATTGAGCATTGTTTATTCAAATTATAGGAGATGGGATTATAACTAGCATGCAGCGGAGGAAGAAGATACCTTAATTATATGTTAGAAACAGAAAAATTCTTGTCTTATAGCTGTCATGCGATGACCAATTGCCATAATGTCGATTTAATGGTGGTCACATTGTAATTCTTAGTGATGCCATGTGTGGTTAAGGTCAAAATGGTGGTTGCTTGACTTCACCATGAGCCCAAATGTACTCCAACTAAAAATTGTTAGAACTTACCGAATTTAATACCAAAATCCAACTTAAACCCCTGATCAATTGTGCACCAAAAAATCGTGGAGACGAATTAGAAGATGATGCATACTGGAGACAAATTAGGAAACTTGAAATTTGCATTACAACAGTGTAATATTGTCTTCTCTCATCACTGAACAAGCATCTCTACTCTCCTCTCATTTGCTGAGTAATGCAATGCCCATTCTTTGTTGTAGTTCTTCTTTCTTCTTTTGTCTCCAATGTGCAACTCCTCTATTTCTTCTCTTTTGTTCTTGTCCTATTATTTATTGGAGTAATATAAGTATATCTTTTTCTATTATTCTTCATCGATCTTCTTTTCCAGAACTGAAATTACCTAATCTAGGGCAATGTACAGTTCTTATGCATGATTTGCAGCTCATTAGTGTAACATTGCTTTACATTTGGAAATGTATCTGCAAATTTATCGGACAATAAATTCTAGGTCTAGATAGGAAACCTTACCATTATTATTCGTTCGTTCCCATGTTTGTGTTTTAAATTTGATGTTCCAGGCTATAGGTATCTAGTATATGTGATGTGTGTTTCAGTTTTTAAATGTAGGCAAACCATTATTTTGTTCTAATTTGTTGAATGTATGTTTAGTGGTACTTACGATCAAACTTTCTATTTGATGGTCGGATGTTGATATCTTTGTGTTTAATGGTTTGATATGAACTTACACTACACATATCAATAGCATATAATACACGTCACTCACCATATATCATGACATGGTAGACACCATGGCAAATCTTCCTTCATGCATGAAGGCATACTGTACACTTTCTAAAGAACCACTTCATTAACTCTGCTGCCTGTAGCACATTGGAAAATTTTGGTATTCAATCCTTGCATTGGATGCAAATAATTTGTCTTTTATGAGTTTCCTGGAACTGGTTATTTGAAAATCAGCTTTTAGTTGAAACATTTATACATTAATGCTGGCATACAAATGTCATATGTTACATAGTAGTTTCTTTTGGTCCTGCAGGAAAATGGTCTACTTTATGTTCCCAAAGGTCAGGGACAGAATCCTCAGGCACAAATGTTCTCTGATCCAAACATGGCTATGGATATGATGAAGAAAAATCTTTCAATGATAGTCCCACAGGTCACTTATTTGCATAGTTGATCATTGTAGCAACACACACACATACACAAGATTTGAAAGCTCATTTTATTTGCCTTCTTTTTCGCCAGACCCTTACTTTTGCATGGGTTAACTTCTTCTTCTCTGGATTTGTAGCAGGTACACCCACTTCTTAGATCCGTTTTTGGCATATAATTACTGAATTTTATCTTTTTCTAACTTAATGTTTCATAAATAAGTTCAATTATAACCACAAGGGTGGTGCCTGATTAGTTTGAGCCTGGCTCCAAAGGTCAAAAGTATCAGGAGGTCCCAGGTTCAAATCCAAGGAGGAATAAAAAATCCTCTTGTGGGCACGGAGGTTCAAATGTGGTGACTCCGGGCTATCTGCAAAACAGGTGGTCTCCCTGGGATTAGTCGGCTCGTATAGCGGGTTGGATATCTAGGTTAATAAAAAAAAAAAAGTTCAATTATAGTTTCTTTGTGTTTCATTTATAATGATGAGTTTAATAAATACATGGTTGGTGCCTTTGCATTGTACTGATGTTGTAAGAATCTAATTCTTTTGTGTTGCTTTTTTCAGCAAAGATACCTTTTCCTCTGACTCAGAGGTTTAGATCAATGTTACAGAATGGGATTGACTTGAGTACCGTTGATGTTAGCTATGTTAGCGGTCGCTCATGGTGGGTCTTGAACTCATATATCAATTGAAAGTCAGTTAGTTGGAAATTGTTGAAAATGCTTGTTTTAATTTTTCAGGTACTTCCTTAATCTTTTTGGATTGAGAGGTTTGTTTAGTCTCATTCTGGGAGAAGAAAATGGTTAGTATTACTTTTACCCTTCCAGGTCCAGTTGTCTGTATCAACTATCTTTCACACAGTTAGGGGCTGTCCTTGTAAAGGCTTAATGAGCTGTATGGCTTATTTCGTAAGCCATATAAGGTTGTTCGGTTGTGACTTAGTGGCCCGGATGATGGCTAATTCGTTAAGCCAAGAGAAGGGTGTTGTATCTATTAAGCAATCAATATTCCATCCATGCCCTCCTCCTACATATTCTTTTTATTGCGAAACCCCTTTCCCTTTTCATTTACATGTTTTTTTACAATTGTAATTATATTACTTTTATTAAATTTGAACTGATTAAAAATATATAATTAACAATATTCAAAATGTAGATAATACTATAATTAACAATATTCAAATACCTATACTAAAAAAGTTCTAATTCAAATAGATTCACATGATTAAGATTTTTTAACCGACTTCGATTTCCAAAAACATAAATATCTGGTGGATATCTTCTTTATCTAATTTTCATTTTAAGAAAATACGTAGAAAGTCGAAACATTGTCAAATGATGTCAAATTGTGGTTATATCATTGAATGCTTATCATTATGTTAGATCAAGTTGTTTTTATTCAAAAAACACTTAATAAATTAATAATGTTTTATCATTCGAAATCTATTATTCGGCATTTTATCAAACAGTTACTTTAATCGGTGTAGAATATAGATTAAGGGGTAAAGTAGTCATTTTTGACATTCGGACTGTTTCTTCAGCAGCACAACCTAAGAACAATTTATCTTAAATCATAGGGTTAGATCAATTCATACAAGACAACTTAATCCAATACGGAGCATAATGGAAAAACAACCAAACACACACTTAGATTTAGATCATGTTTACTCCTGTTCATAGATCTGTTTCCATGGAAATTTAACATGATTCTTTAATGCAGCCACGGATGACACACAGAGAATGATGCAAATGAGTGGATTTGGCTTTGATCCCTCCAAGGTATATACAATACTCATATGATCTTTGGATTCTGGTTGATTTGTTTTCTGTTTTAGATACATAGCATCTTTTTATAAGATCACAGTTGCACACTGTTGCCTCTGGGTATCTTTGTGTGCCTCAACTTGGGTCCTTGATGAGTTGGATGTGGCTATGCTTGAAAACAAATGTTTTATATCCTACTATGCCTCATTCTTTTGGAGTTTGGTGTGGGGGTGTCTAAATTGAACCGTGGGTTATTTAGGAGAATAACTTTTTGACAGATTTTTTTGTTAAATGCATGACCTTATGATAGATTTTAACAGAAGAACGACACTTGCTATTACAAGAATGGCTCAAAATATGTATTTAATAAAATTTGTCGTAAGAACATTCTTCTAAATAAGGTGCTTGTGTAATTGAACAGTGGTAGTAAGGATCTTTAACAGAAGATACCAACGCCCATTAGGTTTTGGAACCATGTCAAATTATAGTTTTCTTATCTTAAGCTCCATGTCCCAAAATAAGTGTCCACATTCAAAACTGAGTATGTACTTCGCAATTCTATCCTTTATTATGAGATAGAAAAATTCATTACTCCCTATATTATTAGGGGTAAAAGTCTCATTTAGTTAAATTAAAAAAAGTGTAACAATTACGCATTTCTAAAACAGTGTGCTTTTTCATTGTGGACATTTATTTTGGGATAGGCGAAGTACTTTATAACACATTTGGTGCAAGTGTTCTTGAGGTGGTCTCGAATGGCCCACAGATGTTAGGTTTGCATGAGTCGGTGTCTTTAGTTCCATTAAGAAATAGTATGTTCCTGCATTGCCAAATAGTCGAACAAAATTCAGCAGTTTCTTTGGCATAAAAATATAAAATGTACTACATCCAAACCTACACCACTCTTTTTCTTTATTACCTCAACTAATCTCCTGGGGCTCTCAAGTTAACAGCCAGGCAAACCTCCAGTGGCCTTGACCCTTAAGAGGACCCTTGGGAGCGAATCCAATGCCTGACCAGTTGAGCTACCATCAAGACCACTTTGTAGATCAGGTATCATGAAAACCAAACAATAGGAATCCATTATGTCCCACTCGAAAGTAGGCTAAAGGGTAGTGTGACTATTTCCGTGAAGACCTCTGAATTGAAGCTAATCTCTAACCTGCACATTTTACGTGCAGAGTTTGGGTGCAGAGAAAGATGGTCTGGACATAGTCCAACATGACTGGGTGCTACCGAAATTTGAACAGCGAGCTGAAGCTGTTCTGAGAAAACGTCTTAGCTAAATGATCATGTATCCAATCATGCGCGCTTTACCCACTCAGTGTGCTTATTTCTTAAAGAAACTGAGTTATGACAACTGTTGTGTTAGAACTATTTTTTTATTAACAAGGATATCCAACCGGGTATGCGAACTGACTGTTGTGTTAACTATTGGTACCTTTGTGGATGTAACATATGATTTTGGGGATATTCCGTTGTTTTATTATCAAACTCTCTATGTGTTAAGTTGTTTAGGTTAAATTATTATTTGGTCGTTGGATGAAAAAACATTGTAAATAAAATAAATGCCTATTTTACCTTGATCGAAAAAGAACTTGCTGTCATCTTACTAGTTATAAGTTTTATAACAGATATATGGTTTAATTCTTATCTCATGTATCGTACCTCTGTTAAAAAATAAAGGATTTAAAAGTATGTTATATAAATTAGGGATCAAATCAATTTAAGTTGTATTTTCTTACAATTTAACAAAGAATTATTTAAATAAATTGTAAATGGAACTGAATACATATAATGTCATTAAGACATTGTTTGACAAATATAAACTAACTTATTTTTTGGATACACATTTAGATGACAATTTTTTCAATTATACCTCTCATTAATATTAATTATAAATAAATATTAATTACTAATAAGTAAAAGAATTAATTATTACTAATATTATTAAATATTAA